TAGTTAAATAGTTTTTGAAAAATCAATCGTAACTAGTTGCTGTTAATAATTTTAGTTTAATAAAAATCGTGGTGCCTCACACTCACGTGACAAAACTGCGTTAGATATTTTGAACATTGGAATTGGAGTTATTCAAGATAATTAAACGCAGTTGAGTTTTTAAAATATAAAATAATAATGTGATATTTTTTACAAAATTATATAGTAAGTTGAAAACCGACAACTTTTTCGCTAATATCTACCGAAGAACCACCTAAAGACCTCTGCAAAAGTAATCAGTATAGATTGCGAATGGAGACTAAATACCCCGATTTTCATTAGAATGGAGTTATCTGGGACATGCTTAGTTCACAACGAGCTTAGCACATAATATTTCATGTCGGAAATGATTAAGTGAAAGAGACAACGGAAAACATGTTATCAGCTGTTTTCTAATTCTATTTCATCAAACTCCACTTTGATGTGTGGAGGCCTCCCAAACCACCAAACTATTCTTATCTCAGTTTGCCTTTTCAATGCCTTAAAGAAAGAACGCAGAGTTTGCCTATTACTAATGGACTCATTTGCGGACATAACTGAAAGATTTATGTAAGTAATATAATTTAAAATTTGTCGAACATTTGAACTAGTAGTTAAGTACTCTTGATATAGGCATTCGAGCCAATGAAGGCTTTACAATAGGTTACCTTAAGCTGGATAGATGTAATTAGCATTAAGAAGCCCTGAATTACTCTCTAATTTATATAATTGTTATCTTCATCTAGAGTTAAAAATCGGAGTAAGAGTAATAGATATATATTATTGGTAATTCTGAAGCTATAACTAGTTAAATTCTCATGTGAATTTATGCCTAAGTTGCGTAATAATTCATCAGTTACGTTAGTGCTTTTCTCATAAGAAAGGTAATAATTTCACACGATGATGTGATGATAAATAACGGTTTTAGGCACACTCATTCTCTTTCTTTGACATATTAAAATTTGCAACCATTGGTCCTTTTCAGAAATGATATTAAAACTGGGTATGAAACAGGTTGTATGTAACCTTTACAGTTTTAAAGGTTTTTTTCTTAAACTATTGTGACACATTTCACTTTGACTGAAAAAAGTGAACCTTAATAACTCAACGGTTGATAGGACTTCATTCCTGACTTATCGCTATTTTGATTCGATTATTAAGCTTTATTCGATTTATCGAATTTTTTACATGATTTTTTGCGTGGCCTATTCTTTCGGCATTTTAATCGATTTGTCGATTTTCTTCATTGGGAGGAAACGAAGTTCATTCTCTTTTCGAATTTGTCACCCATCACGTCTCATTCTTTCATCGGTACATCAAAGTTTGACCAGTTGTGTAAAGCGTCTTCTAACAAAGGAATTCACATACTTGAAATTCAATCGGAATTTTAACAAATTGTCCAGGCTGTTAAACTTAAGAAAACTGATATCGAAGCATTCTCGGCCAAAATTTTTAGTTATTGCAAAATTTTAAAATGTTAATAAGTCAGCGGTTAAATTGAAAAGCCTTAAAAGTAATTTTGTACCGAAGTATGAATCCGAAATTTCTTGAGATCAATGAGGGCTTTCAACGCCCCCTCCAAGAAAAATCTTTACGTTTCTTTAATTTGGGGGGTGGGGGGGGGGGGAGAAGGGGAGGGTGGGGATATTTTACTATTTCCTAACAATGTAATAATTTTTAGTATGCATCAAACTTTAGCCACGTTAATATGATTATTAAAGCTCATGTTAAACTTAAATATTGTAATATTTAAAAAAAGAACTGGTGAGCTAGTAAAACACAGAACAATTCTGTTAACTAATAATGATCTTTATTCTATAACATGAGTAGGTTTAGTAAATTACACTGTTCAGTGTTGTGCACAATACAGATTTCAAATTAAAATCTGACTTTTTGTGTCACGTGATCTAATGTTTTGTTCCATCACCTGTCTATTCGATCAAGAAAATCAAATGATGATACTCTAATTGATAGACATCCCAGGGAAGAATAGCGAAAATTGAAATTTATTGGTGCGTACTACATTTATTTAAATTAAATATCATTTATTACTTATAGAAATATGGCATTATTTTGCTTCATGATACCTATCTGACGGTTTACATTTCAAAATGTGTTTTAATGTGTTACACATAAGTAATTAAATCAAAAATAGGCTGAAGTTGCAGAAAATGCCGAAATTTTAGTTGACATCTTTAAAAAGCAGGCAGTTTTTGGTCTTAATAGCAGTTATAAGTGCTCCAAGCACATGCCTATAATCACATGTCATATATGCCCAGATAAATGAAAATTCTTGTCGTCTCTTTGTTGAATTAAGCCAAGCAGAAGTTACAGTGGAAATTGAATAGAAGAATTCAGCATTAAAGTTTGTTTTTGCATACTAAATACAATACCAAGAACTAAATATACCTTCATTCTTGAATGTTTCAAAAAAGTTTTTTACTAATATTTCAATTAGGGTAGCTAGTTTAAAGATGAGTGAGTTGATGTTATATAACTTTACTAAGGTAGGCCTTTTCACAATGCGGTTGGACATTGGGACCCAGATCAAAATTACTTCGATTGATGCAACAAAACCGCATTTGAGACCATAAATATGACATTGTAAGTCCAAATTGAGTCTATGCGCTTGTCTTTAAACTAGCGTGTGCGCGTAACATAGGCAAATTAGTTGAGTGAAAATCGATATTCAGAGGCTTTCCGATGCATGTTTTCGCACATGTGGTGATCGCAGTGATAACACTTGCATTGGACATCCAATCAAATGTGCGAATAAGTTCGTGTAATAGCACGAACTACTGATGTTGAACAGAAGTAATTTGAACAGCATATGGCGAATAATCCCCCCAGTCCACTATCACCCTTTCAATTTAGCTCTTTACTTTTAGGTTAGCGTCGGATCCGTAACAAGTGTCTATAGTGAACGAGAAGAGAGTTTCACTCACGGCATACGTATAACAGGAGACTTGAATTTCTCCGTAGATTACGATGACAAGAGTGGCACACTTCGCATTTTCATCAAACAGGCACGTGAGATTGCTATAGCAGACTCAAAGCTCGGTTCCTCTAACACGTAAGTTGTTGATATCCTATCTTCTACTTTTTCATGCCACAAGAGGTCCCTTAATTTAATTACCGATGACAACTAAAGAAAAAACAATTAAAATCGAACAACTTATCAGATAAGATCATTAGTGTCGGATAGTGATCTATTTGCTAAGATTACCAGACGTCTTAAATACGTGTTAACTGAATCTTTTTGGCTAATAGTACAGATAAATGATAAATACGTTTTATTTCACTTCAATAACTTAAAATTACCACGACTTTCATAATCTTGTATTAATATATTTCACCTAAAATGAGAAATGAAATTTTAACAAATAATGTGATACTGAATTCCTTTGACGCTGATTCGTAATTATGAGTGGTACTTTAGGCAACATTATAATGTAAGTGCACAGAAGCAAATATAAAGTTCAAATTTTTGAACTCATTGAAATTTAATGACCTTATCAGTACAAGAAAGTGGACTAGGGTTCATTTGAGGCCGTTAGTTAATGCAGTAACTAAAGGAACAGGAAATCTAAAGTTACATTTAAAGATGCCTAGGAATTTCGGAAAACATATCTTATGATTGCAGAGATCGCTATATAAGACACTCAAAAATTCTAGGTTTTAACATGATGGTTTTGGAATGTGGAATGGAAGCGAAACGTCGCAGAGGTTCACTCCAAAATAGGGAGTGAGAAGTCATGCTTCAAACCTAAAATTAAGTGTTTTATAATGGAGGACTGCACGATTGCAGACATGGGCTTAGGTATTATTTCCAAAAAAACCTTTTGGCATATGTGTTCTCGTGTTTCACCTTATAAAAAGCGGTGAATGATTGTATCATTTTCTGCTAAGATAGACAGCTATAGTACAATCATCCTATGTAGGTGATCTAAGTGGCAATTTAATACCAGAAATTTCGGGTGATTGACTTTAAGTAGTTACTTGGTTTCAGCTGTTCATTAAATAATTCAATCATTCAGATGAAAGTGGAATGAAATTTTCCCACTTATTACGAGTAAAATTTAAGCAATTGTATGGAGTAATGTGCATTGCAAATAAAAGAGCATCTTTATTTTTTTTGTGAATTACTTAAATTAACGAACCTTTTGAGCGTAATATGAGGAGAGTTTTGGAGAAAATGTCTTAACAATGATTATGACGTCAATAGAATGGAGATTAGTTTTGGGTACGCTGATTCTTCAACGCAAGTTGATTGAGAGAGATTTACTGAAAGGCCTCTGCACTAGTGACCACATTTGCACCCTCACGTGATAAGCCTCACCATAAAAAGCATTGTAATATTTTACAAGGCAATTATTGATATCGTTTGTTAAATGACCTTTTTTGTTTATCAGATATATATATATATATATTTATATGTTTTGTCAATTATTTATCTCTCCGTTTCGGCAAAATATATTTGAAAGAAACATTGCGTTTAACGGAGCTTCGTTCACAAATTTAAACTTACAGGCTTTAAAGGTAAAACGTGAGACCATGTAAGAACTTCAAATAATTACCTGGAAGCTATTTTATTTGAACGAGAGAAGGTAAATAGAATGCCGACGACAATCAATAGTATATCTTTGTAATGTTTAATGTTACATTGCTGCCTTCTAATTCTGACTGACTCTTTGTAGTTATACCTCCCACGTTCTAGAAAACCACAGATTTTAATGCGAGGTCGTGATTTCAATTATAGACAATTTACACTTGCCAATGCTTCTAAATGAAGATCATTCGATTCCCAATCTGACTTTTCACGACTTGTCATTCAACTTTTACGAAAGATTTAACCTCGAGTAATTGAACCACATTCTTAGCTGTATAACAAAATATGTTTATCAGAACTGGTCGATCTCACTAATGTCTCAAGTTGTTTTATTTAAAAGCATATTAAACAGTTCAAAATTTTAAATCTCAAAATGGGGTAAGTGCAAAAGAGTTTATTTTGGCAGAATTGTGAATCATGTTGTGTTTTTTGGGTTCTATCCTTTTCTTTACCATTCTACTTTAAATCCTTCTTAACTGTTAATAAAACTTGTTATTTACTTCAAGGCATTTATTTTCATATATTTGCTATCAGGCAAAATCATCAAGTCTAGTATTTATTTATTCCTGTAATTAAAGAAACGGAATTTTAGTCTATTATTTCCAAAGTTTTCCCTGTTAAATTCTTTGCCAAATTTGAACTTGCCAAATAAGCGTTTGATATTTATGTGTTGTTTAAAATGGCCATAATTCTGGCAAACAAAATTTTATTTAAATGGTTTTTTATTTGAAATGAATGATAAATGAGGTGGGTTTTAATGAACGTTAATGAATTTAAAATTTTCATTATTTTTAGTTCTTATTAATGAAATTATTCCTACTTTTCTTTATTTTAAGAGACAACGATATAGTCCTTTCAATAATGTTTAGATATTTCTCATAATGTAAAGAATTATTATAATTTTTAATTTTTATTTATTGGATTTAAATGCCCATTTAGTAAGTTACCTATTAAACAACGCTGCCTGTGCAAGAAATGATTCCTCATACTATTTAAAGGTAGAAATAGACGCGTCATGCTCTGGTATTTCAGAATCGGAGACCATAGGTCTATCAATGTGCTCTTCGTAAATAGAACGGTGGTAGAATTTGAGTTTCTCGCAGAGGCAGTCTGGACGATGTTATTTCTCTGACCCAACATGAGTAATGGAAGATGCAACCTTAAATAAGACTGTGAAATTGGAGTAACAGTTGTAAGCTCGATGTCCACAGGGACAAACGGAACGATCGACGATAATTTGCCTGTGTTTAACAATGGAGATGACAGAAAGCAAGTTTCTTGCCTATGAAGCTTCATCTTTTCAACTTATTTATATCAAATGGCAGGCTTTATGATAGTTATCATTAGCCCTTTAGTTGAATTCGAACTTCACACAGGGGAACAACATCAAAGTGACAAAAAAGTGGAGAGAGGGAACAGAAGAGTGATTCACAGGTGTAAAAGCGAGACAAACACAAAGGTAGAGAAATGGGGAAAGGTGAGTACTGAGGAAGTGGTCGAATGCAAAATGCAATTGGGTCATATTAGTTTAAGGTCAGCTGACGGTTTATATACTTTTAGCCATATGAATATACTTTGCCCAGGGTGCGCTACGTGAAGGTAGGTCTGTTGAGCATCCCTCTGCCCAACGTAAGCGTAGAAAATAGACATTGGATTTATCGAATTATTGGCATTTTCAATTAAAATCACACTAGAGATGCCATAAGTACTTGTCAAAACAGATGCATTTTAAATAATCGAGTTCTTCTATTTTTTATGATTATTTCATGACAAATTGAACTGATCTCAGTTCTACTGGCAAAAAGAAGGCAGATCGATGGTAACTCCTAATATCCGTTTTATGCAAGAAAATTAACTCTAATGTCGGATGAATTTGTCTACTTTCATTAATAATTTCAAAAGTTTTGATTAGAATTTGTTTAAACGTAAACTGCTATGAATTCAAACAATTTGCAGTATATAACTTCGTAATTACTGTCAAGTTAAATTTATATTGACAGTTATTTAGTTTGTCCTATAAATTCTAAATTAAGCCGGTTGCATAATAGTCAGCTTAAATAACTTTTTCGAGTGTCATTTTACTGCTTATTTTACCTAATCAGAAAAATATTAGTCTAGTAGTGAGTCACAGTTTTTTGCGATTTTTTCATTATTCGATCTTTTAAATTTTTATGATTTAAAGTCATTTTTAGCTATACCTAACTCATTTTTTATGTTAGCGGAAAGTTGAGAACATTTTTCAAGATCTAATGATAATTAAATAGTTCAATCTTAATCGATTTAAAATTACACCTCCATAAGCATCTCACTTTTCTAAATAAAGTCTTGAAATATTCTTACAAAGATTTATAAAAATAGTCGCAGATATTTGAGCAAAATAATTCTTATCAGAGTGTAATATAATTTATTCACATTTCCATGTCATCCGTCATAATCTCCTTAAAGGATTAAATCATTTATGAAAATCTTTGTCAAATTTTTAATACAACTTAAATGGTCCAACCATCAGTGTGATCAGGAATTTTCAATTCATACTTAAAAATATAGTTTTCCTTTAGAATTTCAATTCACAAAGCAATTATTCCTTCAAATTTGTAATTTCCTTCTTTCTCTGTTGTTGCACAATTTCTCATCTCCTTTTGAAACTCTTATTTATTTCCAGAATCTATATATAAATTTTTTGCTAAAACGGTAATTTGATAAACTTGCCTACGATAGAAGTAATATTCTATTTTTTCAATTATTAACTTCAGTTATGTGAAAACCTATCTCCTGCCAGATAAAACAAAGGCTAGCAAACGGAAGACGAAAGTGAAGAAGAATTCGACAAGTCCTTTCTATAATGAAGCTTTAATCTACGAAATTCCCAGATCAGATTTAGTTTATCGTACACTCCAGCTCTCCGTTTGGCATTTTCGACGTGCAAAGGCCAATCTCTTTCTTGGTGAGGTCCTTTTTCCACTTGCAGAACATCAATTCAGTCCCACTCCTATTTGGAAGGCTCTTCAAAACAGAGTGAGTAAATGTGTGTTTGTTTTAATTTTCATCTAAGTTAAGTTATTAATCAACATTTGTCAAATCCGTCAAAAGGGGGAGGCTGACTTAGCATTTCAATTCGATTATGAAGAAGCATTAAATTGAACTTGCCCCAAATTAATCACAGATGCAGTTTAGTAAAATTTTTAATTCCCATCATTACCTTGTAAATTTGGTTTCAAGCATTGATCATAATGTTATTCTAAAATATATTATTTGGACTGTTGAAGTTTACACGGGATCAAAAAACGATTTTGATTAACTTTAAGCAACATTATATAATAACTTGAATCAAAATATCATATTAAATTAAAACTCAGTGATTTTATTAGTGGAGACATTTTTATGATAGATTGACAAATAATAATTTAAATATATGTTAAATAATAGTAAATATGAAATTGTGGTTTTAGTTTTAAATGCAGAACTAATTATTTCCTTGAGAACTCGTGGCACTTATTTTGTAAACTTAGTATTATATTTATTGTCATTATAAGCCATAAAATACAGAATTTTACTTTGATTGTATAAAGACGTCATCTTTTGTCGTGCTTTCATAGGAAAATGTACTCGGGCTTCAATTAAGACTACTGAATACGTAAAAATAAGATATAACCTCAAAACATGATAATTAAAAATTATTCAACAGATAATTTAAAGGCGGCATATTACTCTCTATAAGTCATTGTTCTACTGTTAAGCCTCCAATTTTATTGAAAGGATTTGTGAATTAATGGTGTTTTAAGTCACTTAACGCCTTGCAAATCCCTTAAAACATAATATAATTTAGACATCCCATTAGCTATTTGAATTACTCTTTGCAATAAAAATGTTCAACATGTGTTAGTCTGTATACATCTTTTGCAGGTTGACTTAGTTTAGTCAATGTTTACTCTGTTACTTAAAATGCTAGTAGAGCGAGGTTTTCATTTGCTCACTAGACTTCACTCAAGCTGAACTTCATCGAATTTTCCAAATCCATGGACTCTGTGCAGAGCTTAGCTGATAGGTTTTTATAAGATAACTATCACTCCTCTCGATTAACAAATTAATTCCAGGTAAACTTGATCCAGTTAGAGAGTAATACTTTTTAATCCACACCATGTGATAAATATTGCGAATTCTAGAAAGCCCTTAGATTTTACAGCAAAGAATAACAATCTCAATACATCTTTTTAATAAGTAAAATTTCTGAAAATAGGAAACATTTCAAAAATTTTCACTTTAAAACGTTACATGAATTTGAAAATTCATGGTATATCTAATTAGTGTTCAGAGTTATAAAAGTTACTTTTTTGACATTTTTATTTATGTATATCGATTATGACTTTTGAATGTACTTTTATCAAATGAAGAAATCTAAAAAATGCTATGGCAATACAGCTGCTAGTACTTAAATAAAGATAGCTTTACTTTTCGTCACTTTGCACTACTTTGGGATTTAAAAATGTTCAGTTTATTAATATAGTTATTCAGTCAGGAAGGAAGGTAAAACATTAAATTGCCCCCCCCCCATCGCTTAGATTTTAGGCAGATCGCTTAATTATATCTGCTATTTTCCCTAGGTATTAACTGCACAGAAATAAAGTTTGTTCCCCATTTCATAATATGTTTATATTAAAATGGATCAATTAGACGATTTATGGGTAGTTTAGAAAGCTTGAGAATGTCTTCATCTTGGAAACTATATTTCCATTTCAACACCTACCCGAATCAACTGTGCAATAATTTTCAAATTTTGGAATTGATTAAATTAAAATTGACGCAATAATATTATTAGAATGTTAATAAATTGGGCATTTAAAGTTAGACAACTGGATACGCCTATATTCACTTTGATTAATGGTATATTGCTACAATAATAGGTTTTGTCCCATGCTCAGTAACCTTTATAACAAGATCTCCTAATTCGTAATGGCTCCCAGGAGAAGCTAAGCAACCACAAAGCTAAAGAGGAAGCAGACTTATGATTTGGAATGCGTTTATTTTGAATGTAGTTTACTGGCAGGGGGCTTGTTCATTAAAATACATTGAAGGGTTTGTTAAATTATGCAGGGACCATTGATTGGTGGTTGTCTGAGTCGTCTCTGAGATCACGACGCACAAGCTTCCTACGCGACAAGTAGCACGGCCGCACCCACCAGTCTGTGTTTGGGTGCGCATGAGATTTCTTTGTTCAGCCATGACAGTATGGTGCACTGCACACAAAATAAAATTTAATTCACCCGAGATATTGACTACTGTTCAAAAAATATTATTATTATATCAAATTGAAGGCATTTTGATGGTTATCATAAGCCCTTTTGTTGACTTCAGGCTTCACAAAGGGAAGGAACATTAAAGTGAAAAAAATCAAGAGGGGGGGGGGGAACAGAAGAGCGTTTCAAAGACGAAGGTAGATAAGGAGAAAAAGGGTGAGGTGAGTGCTGTGGAAGTAGTCGAATATGACATACGGTGGGGTTATAGCAGTTTGAAGTTCGAAGTCAACCGCCAGGTGACAGACTTTTTTGCCGTATGAGTATACGTTGCCCAGGGTGCACCACGTGGAGGTAAGTCTATCACACACCCCTGTTCAAAAAATATTAATTAAAGTGAAGAATACACTATTTAGCTTGTGTCTCTCAAGAAATCGGCTTTCTGTCAGTCAAACATAGGGCCGTGATCACTCGTCGGTGATAAAATCAAATAAAATTTTGGCGTATTTAATTAATTCCATCATGAGAACTTCTACAAATCGAATGTGGATGGTGTGTAAGAATAAGAAGAATAAACAACGTATTTGTAATTCATTGAAATTGAAAACACTGAAGTGGAATCGATCACTGTTAGAAACTTTGAAGCTAACCTTAAGTACTGCTGTTCAAACACAAGAAAATACGATTTCTATTGGTTAATTACTTCCGTATCATGAGATATAGCAGTAATACTGAGTGATTATAATTACTATTGAAAGTAAAGTGTGCAGGAGTACAAAACTATGTTCATTCCACAGTTTCGATAAAATACTCATTTAAATTCGAATTTCCGCATTTCGACACCAATCAGTTTTGATGTGCACGATTTATATAAAGTCAAAATTTTGATTATTTAAAAGAATTAAAGATTAAATGTGCTTATTAAGAATGTAAATTATTTACGCGTTTTGGTTTATTCCTACTAAATTTTATACCGATTTGATCTATAAAGGAGAATATAAGCTGACAACGTTCAACTATTTAAAATGCATTTAGTATTATAACAAGACAGAACACTCGTATAGCCAATAGAATTACCTTTATATTGCCTCATTTAGAAACATCCCTAAACTTTTACCTTAGCTCACATACTACTTTTGGTAACCAGATACTTCACATAATTAGAAATGTGCGTATTACTTTTCACTTTTGCCATAATGCAACGTTACTTTGAGGCGAGAGGATGGGGTGGGGTGGGGTGGAAATAGTCACAGTTATAGAATATTTATTTATTTTAAATGGCAGGCATTTTGATAGTTATCATTAGCCCTTCAGTTGACTTTGGGCTTCACAGAAGGGAGGAACATTAAAGTGAGAAAAATTCGACAGGGGAAAAGAAGAGCGATTCACATATGCAAAAGAGACAGACAGACACAAAGGCAGAGAAAAGGTTAGATGAGTACTGTGAAAGGGGTCGAATATGACATACAGTGGGGTCATGATAGTTTAAAGTCAGAGGTCAACTACCAGTTAATAGACTTTTTGCCGTATGAGTAAACGTTGCCCAGGGTGCACCACGTGGAGGCAACCCCCAGTTATAGAATATAAAAGTGTTATACTTGTAATGAAATTTACTCTTTCGCACTCAAGTGTCTTTTTTCCTTGTTGCATTTAATTAGAATTCTCTTAATGGAGACTACAATCACAGACTGACAAAGGGCCATATTCAGTTAGGTGTGATGTACGCAACCCAAGATCAGAACCAGGGTGAATTGCACATTTATATCAAGAGCGCTACAGATTTGAATGTCCCTCTGGGAGCCAATGAAGGTGGTGGTGATAGCAAAAATAGAGTCAATCCTTTTGTGAAAACGTGAGTTTTGAGCAATTTTATCATACTAAAATATCTTA